TCAACCATCATGTATCTCTTCAAATATTATAATTAATTTCTTTCTCGATTGACTCTTAGAAGAATATTTACAAAGTAATATATTTACTATTTTTTTTTAATTTCTTTCTCGATTGACTCTTAGAAGGATATTTACAAAGTAATATATGTACTAATTTTTTTTGTTTAATTACATTTCTTAAATTCAGATATACAAGATAACAATCGCCACCGCATCCAAGTCTCTTACATCTTGTAAAAAATGAGAAGATTTTATTCTCTAGTTTCTGGTAAAGAGCTTGAAACGGAGTTGAAAGGCAGCTTACCCAGATTCATATTGGGGTGGGGCCAATTTCTGACGTGGACAATACAGGTCTACTGGACTTGATCTTGGAAAGGTGGTAATAGTATCCAAAAGATAGTGTACAAAATACAACCAATATAAATAAAAAATTATTTAATGCTTAGGGCACCGGTTAATTAATATATTCGCGTAACTTAGGCTTCTTGAACTCTAGATTTACAATAAAAATTTTAAGAGCTTGTAAAAACAAACATCGTAGGATTTAAAAATTCCTTCATGGTAAAATTAATATTTTAATAAGAAGAATATTAAATAATTTAAGATAACTTTAAATTTTATCAACATAAATATTTATTTTTAAATTTTAAATTTATTCATGCTCTAAAATTTAAATATTTTTTATCTTAGGATATAAGAAGTTATAAGTTATTTATCTAAATGTTTTATAGAGTATTTATACTTCTAAATCTTGTTTTTTTATTGAAAAAAATTATAAGATCCACTGTTTTTAAAAAATATTAATAAAAAATAAATATATTTTATATATTATTAATAAAAAAATAAGTATGATAGATTTCTTAAGAGATATTGCATACACCTATAAATATAGAAAATTTATTATATTAGTATGACTAACTATCTTATAAAAAGAGGTATGATAATTTATTATGTTTTTAACACTTATATTAAAATAATTATTTAGATCATACATAAAGTTTTAAAATTTAATAATGTTTAATTTTTTTGGCCTTAATATATTTATCCAACTTATATTACCTTAATGTGGTTAATTATCAAATTCATGTATTTGATTGATTGTTAAGTCCGAATACCTTTGATGTAGCGAATTGATAAATTTTTATGTTTTGGATCCAGCACGTTTATCAATTTCATATTATCTTGAATATGGTTGATTGTCAGGTCCAAGTATCCATAATCTTACATGTTTCTCGAACATATTTCACTTTTAATATGACTAATTATCAAGTTCAAATATTTTTGGTTTGATATATTTGATAGATATATATTGTTTAACCAGCTATCAAGTTTAAACATCTTAAATTTAAAATGTCCACCAAATCTATTTAATTTTTAAAAAAATTATAAAAATCTTAACAAAAAATTAACTAACACCTTATTTTTATTTTCTACTTGAAAATTCCTTACTGGGTAACACATACTCACTTGATGAATAATAACAATAATAATATAAAAAAACATATGCTCACTTTTGATGGGCCAAATCTCTACAGATAGAGTTTGTCGGTTTGAATACTCTAGTAGATTATAGATTAGATCACCAAATCAGCAAGTCGGCAAGCTGGCAACTGTATCGTTTTTTACTTTCATAAACCAACGACATGACGAGGTGTGTGTGTGTATTTATATTTTATTGCATTCCATCTCTTTAAACGGATAATTTTGGCCAGCGTAATCAACATTTTTCTCGTAACTTAACCTCGGCAGAATTTTAATTTAAACCAAAATTTAGCCAAACTGGATGACTTGAAAAATTAATTTAGTATTCTAGCTTATCTGATAAAATTTAATCAAATTAATATTAAAAAATAAAAATAAAAAATATTATGTTAATACAAAATTGAGATTTTTCCCCGAATCAAACCCTAAATTAAGTTCGGCAAATGCAACTCAAATTAGAAATTGCTTGAATTTTTCTATAACATTGACACTTGATAATAATTATTTTTTATTATGAAATATATTAAAATAATATATCTTTTTTATTTTTAAAATTTATTTTTGACATTAACATATTAAAAAACTTAAAAATAATTTTAAATAAAATAAAATTTAAATTTTTGATAAATAATATTTTAGTCACAGTACCAAACACGCGTTTATTTAATTATGATTCCTATCTACGGAAAAATAATAGTCCTATTTAAGAATTGTGAAGTGGATGGGTGACTTGTAAGTTATTGCTACTTTCTTACTAACAAATTAAGGATCGCATCCTTAATTTTAGTTATAATAAAAAAGAGTTGCCCCTCTAATTTAGAACTTTATTTTTGACAATAATAAAGTTTTTATCTCGAGGAGGAAAAAAACTCTCACGTGATTTGTTTTTGGGGTTTGTGAAGAAGTAATGAAAACAAGCAAGCCGAACGACCATAGGCCTCGTGAACAAAAACCCTCACGTGATCTATTGCTGGCAAAGTGAAACTTAAATTTGTTTAATGAATAATTGGGCCTCCTTCTTTGGAGTGATTGGGCTACGTAATTTGAACCATGACACAAGAAAATTTGTACGCCGAGGACATCATGTTAAGGTATTTGTCTCGGATACAAAAATACAGTCCTCGAGTCTGATCTCTTAAACTTCCATTGCATTAATTTTTCATTATATATTCATCTTCGATCCTTTTTTTTTTTTGTGAAAAAGAAACTTACCTTTACTAAATGTATTTTGTACCGGCATCAATTTAAGGCGTGGAAAGATTTTCTCATTTTTTATTAATAAAAAAATTATTTTCGAGGAATATATATATATATATAAAGAAATATAAAGTATTCTAGACAAGCTTTCACACATTATAATAAGTCCATGCAACCCGGAACTAGTTTTTACACGTGTCATCCTACAGCCTGTGATTCTAAGAGGTTTTTTTTTAGCAGGAGAATTCAAACTTGAAACCTGAAAGAGCAAACTCTCGTGCCTTGGCTGATATTTGCTAAACCAATGCCAGACCAACCTCTTGAGGTTGACAAAAATACATAGACACATAGATTTTTTTTATTTCTTTTATTAATAAAAAACTTATTTTTAGGAAATATATATATTTTTAAAAAATATAAAATAATCCTAAAAAATATAATTCAACTGGTCATGCTTTAGAATTATTCTTCAAAGATCATCAATTTGAATCTTATAAACATCAGACCCAGAATTATTCTTCAAAGATCATCAATTTGAGTCTTACAAACATCAGAAGCCATTAGAAACTTATATAATTATTAATTTAAAACTCGTGGGATTAGTTAAGGTATACACAAGTTAACCTGGACACCTATATTAATTAAAAATAAAAGATTTATGCAACATATAATTAATATTTACACACATCACCCTACATTACATGACCCCAAGAATATTTTTTTGTTAGCAATAGAATTTAAACTTAAAACCTAGAAAGACAAAACTCTATCTCTTGAGGTTAACCAAAAATACATACACATAGATTTTTCTCATATATAATAATAATAATAATTAAAAAAATGGTTTGGGGAGCTTACAAGCTACAAACTAAACTAGCAAAAGGAAAACAGACAAAAACTTTCTCCCCCCCCCCCCCTCCCAATTAATATCATTATCTATGCATTGAACATCCTGAAACATACCTCTCATTCCCGATTTCAGAATCGAGAAAAGGTTTAAGTTATTAAAATATTAAATTAATTATTCAAATAGTGTTGTGTGTATATATAAATATATAAAAGATTGAAATTGATTTAATTTGATTAATTAAATTATTAAAATCTCAATAAAATTATTTTTTTTAATATTTTTAAGCAATGTTTGCGAACACCATCTCTGATTTATCTCAAAATTATTGAAAGTGTATATAATTTATTAAATTTATAATTATTTTAAAATTTCTCAAAGAAAAAAATATTTCATTTATAATTATAATGACAGGGATTAATTTTTATTCATTATAAACTTATTTTGATTGCAAAAGTCATTTACATAAAAGCTTAATATTGGAACCATTATAAAATATAGTAATGAAATTAACCGGTTTAGTTGGTAAATCTATTGAATTTATGACTTGAAATCTGACTTCAATTAAGTATTAATTTAAATTAATTTGATATTAGTAGCACTAAACTCAAATAATTAAGTGGGTTAACTCACAACTTACTAAATCTTATTCAAATCCTATCATATTAAAATCAAAGATTCTTTTTTATAAAAAAACAAAACAGTGTTTTCATAATAAAAAAATAAAAATATTAACTCAAGTTTACCAAACCTTTGAAGTATCAAATCCCGATCCAAGCCTTGCAATTATGGCAAGAAATGGATGAAAACCGATAATGTGGAGCAGTTAAATAGGTTGGCTTGGAGGGAGGGAAAATCCCTAAAACAGTTTAGCGTTTCTACTCCACCACTATGATAGATTAAAATGTCCCCATTCGCTTTCTTTGATGAATAATTTTCTTCATTCGCTTAAAATCTACGTGAGATACATAATTTTAAAAGCCAGAAATTGCGTTTTTGTTTTTTTTTTTTTGTTATCGATTATTCTTAGGATGATTGTTCTATTTTTTTTTTTACAACTGATGATAAAATCTTAAAGAAAAAGTATCACACTGGTCAAGGATTTCAGGAAATCCTTGCAATGTATTAACAATGTGATGTAGCAGGTTTCCAGGGATGGAGTGTGAGCAGTTCTGCGAGCATCTGCTACATATAGACTGTAAAGATGATGATAATAGAAGATTTAATTGGTGGACGATCTCAGATTTTTCTAGATGATTTTACAAACAATTTTTGTATGGTAAACCATTTCTGGTCCTGTAAGTGGCATATTCTTTATCTGCTACTATCTTGCTGTGCTTCAATCCAATGATTATATCTACTTGGCATAATCGTAATCACGATTCCGCTCAGCAGTAGAAGGGGCTGCGGCCAAAGCCAAACGAATCAAACACTAAGCAAGCAAGCAATTGGCAATCCATTTACAACGCACTTTAGCAAGCAATTGGCAATCCATTTACAACGCACTTTTTATTACACACAGATACAGTAAATTCTGTTTTAAAATTAGAGATTCTGAGGCCACTCACAAGATCAGTGGACTGTCTCTTTACATGTATCTGCAACTGGTAAAACCAATCGAGAAATATATATACAACATAAATGCTAATACACGGAGCATTTTACAAGGCTAAATGATCCAATAGTTCTGCATCATCATCATCAGCATCCATCATCTCCTCATCATTATAGTCACCCTCTTCTTCGAGAAGCCATTGTTCAAGTTCATCCACCTCATCATTGTCATGCATGTATAAACCATGCAAGTTATCCCACTGGTTGGACCCCAGCTCCTCAGCATGGCATGCCACATGCAAGAATGGTCTATTCCTAGCTAAAGCATCTATAATATCCCTACTCGCACTTCCTGTCACCCCCAAACATCTCAACCTTGGAAAATAGGGTTTCTTTAACCACCGGAATGAAAGCTGTGTTATACCGCCACAGTTGTAAAGGTCCAACAGCCGCAAACTACAACCATGCAATCTGTCCTCATCAACCCGCATTGAAGCTAATGCCATAACTGAAGTATCACCAATAAGTGGACATTGTCGCATTCGAAGCTCAGAAATTGGAACCCGGCATTTTGCAAGTGCCAGAACTCCATTATCAGACAGGTTAGGAAGATTTGATAGGTCCAGTTGTTGTAACTTCAGTTTAGAAGAGCCTTCAAATAAAGCAGGGATGCATTTATCTGTTAGTCTTTTGCATCCTCTCACAGACAGAGAAACTAATGAATTTATAATTCCTCTCAAGTAAGACAATCCAAAATCACTTATATTGGAACCATCCAGCAGTAAAATCTTCAATTCCAGAAGAGCGCTGATAGCTCTTAGGGCTTCGTCTCCAAAGTGTTTGCAGTCTCTCAAGTCAAGAACTCTAAGGCGTGTATTCAATACCAAGTTTTTTATTGCATGGTTGGTTAAAAGGTTGCACCATCTCAAGCTCACATGTATCAAAGACAGGGATGTTGCAGGGATATCATGAAAGACCAGATCAGTCAAATGGATTCCATAAGACACCTGGAGCTTGTACAGACTAGAGCATGAATGCAAGATTGTTTTGAATCCTGTATCTGTAACTCGACAGAAGCCTCCAAGACAAATACTTTCCATGTTTGCACACTTGTCAGCCATTAATAGCATTCCGAGATCATTAACACGTCTAAAATATGTAATGGTGAATTCTTGGCTCCGAACCAACGAGAGATGTTTGAGTTTTCCATGCTGATTAATCTGCTGAAGACCAGAGTTGGTGAGATCAAATGTAATTGTTGGTTCTATGAGAGGAGCATCTCGAAGATCCAAATGTGTTAAGGACATGAGACCTTTTGATATTGTGCTAACCATGGTGTCAGTAATATAGTCTACAGAAAGGCACAATTTCTGAATGCCAGGCAGAATGGATGGTCGAACATGATTTGGTGATTGATGAGGTCCCAAACTTGGGCCAACCAGTTCAGTCACCATCACTGAAGAAACATACCCAATCTCAAGAGAAGTCAGTTTTTCTGAAACCAAAGCCCATATTAGAGCAAAATTATGACGAAGAAATAATGAGACATCAAACATCAAAATCAGTTCCTGCAAAACAATAAGCGCATATTAGGCAGAATGTATTTGTTCCAAAAGGTCATTGGAATATCATGCTTAATTGTAAATATGTGAATGAAACCTTGACAGAGTATCTTGAACAAAGATACATCACATAAATGCAAAATAATCCAGGTACATACCATTGTAAGAGCTAAGTGATATGCACTAACATATAACCTATCATTCAATTATTAAACCAGATTCATGTAAACCCAATTTAGTCTCCCTGCCAGCACGACCAAATTCAAGAACACAATAAATGTCAGCATGAGGCAGCCCACAGACCAGGACAGCACCCATTAAATAAACAAGAGGCTCTATAGCAGAATGACTAAACAAAATTGATCAAAGAGCAACAAGTCCACAAATTTAATCTGTATTGGTTATATTATTCTTGTCCTCAATTTGACACAAAAAACACACTCACTACAAGCTTCGTAGATGTATGCTTGTAATTGCATGTGCATGCAGAACTAACAAAGAAGAGACATTCAAAATTATGAGGAAGCTTTTGGATAGCAAATGGAGTAATCCAAAAACTCACATAACAATATTATGCCCACCATCATACTAAATAGCTTATGCTCCAAAGCTGTACATTTCAGTAGCTGTTTAAACGATGAAATGAATGCTACGGTTGGAGTACTTGTACAATTTTTTTTAAATCAACAGGGATATCTCCATCCTGTTTGGTCATTTAATATATGATTTTGAATGTCAAGTAATGAAAAGTTAAATGAAGCTGATTTTACATTTATTTGCATCCATACTAATAACTAGGTTGAGGAATCAGCAATTATATTATATCACAACGATTTCTAGATTATGTAAAGATTTTCTTTCATCTAAGAGAGATTAAATCCAGCTACGGAACAGGAACACCAAGACTAAACTACAATGGCAATAAATGTGCTAAAGATTAAGCAATCTAATATAAAATCTCACCAAACATTTCTTTGCCATTCAATTACTACTTTACATTTTAATCTTCATTAACTACTTCAATTTGCACTTGAGCCTTACTTCCAATCGTGTGCAGCCTCTAAGTAGCTCCTCCAGATCAGATATATGAATAGCACGTCCTCTTTTTTCCGCCACCGATCCCAAGTACAGATACCTGAACCAAAATTCAAAAACATACAAAATCAATAACAACGCAACAAATCTAACACTTCCAGATAATCACATATCACCATCACACACATTGCTCAATTACCCCACGATAACCCACACACAAACACAAACCCATGTTTTCTTGCATATTCATTAAATTTTGATCACTGCTAGTGTCTAGTGTCAGCCACGACTGCTTGCATTTCACACGCAAATACACACATCAACATGAACCCACATTTTCTATTGCATTTCTGAACGTTTTACCATAAGTTCATAACAGTTCCCATCGGGCAAGTAATGCATGCACAGTCAGAAGAAGGGGAAAAATCTAACATCTTTTTACCTCAAATCCGCGCACTTTCCTCCAATCTCAGAGAGCAATTTCCCACTAAAATCCGCGCAATTTTGTAAATAAAGCTCATGCAAGGAATCCCGAACCACAACATTAATTGCAGAATCATCAAGCCGACCACAATCAAGCTTTAAGCTTTTAAGGTAAGGATTTGGAGGCAACAAAGGCCTTAATAAATCAATTGACGGTGCAATATCCTATGACAACAATTTTTTTATTAGAAAGCCATCAATAAAAAAATCAAATATTCATGAAAAGTTGAGATCTGTTGTGGGTTTTTCATGTTCTAATGGTTGGCTTACAAGGAGGTCGAAACTGGGGACGAAAGTGAGGATGTGAGAAGCACAAGCGTTGAAGGTCTTGCAAGTGGAAGAAACGGAGCAGATCGATCCCACGTCGAGTTTTGATACTATGGTTTCAAGTACCGTTGCTGGTAGCTGATCCAAGCTCCCTTCTTCCTCGTCAGGGTCAGCCATCTTCTCAATGGCTTTGCCTTGACACGATGTGGTGGAAGCGATGATGATGACGATGATAAAAACAGAAAACTGTGATGTGTCAACTGTCCTTCTTTTTATTTGGGGTTAAATGTAAATCAGTCCTTTAATATTCTAATTTGTTTCAAAATAGTATGTCAGTTGAAATGATTACTATTCTCTCCCTTTGTTTTATTTTTAACCGTTATTGACCTAAAACTTAAATTCTTTAATTAATTCTGTCAAAGTAACTTTTGTATCTTTCTTGTAAATTTCATTCATGTATAAATGAAAAATATGTTTATTGAATTTTTTTTTCATATTTCATAGTACTAGGATCTAAATATATTATTTTTTATTTTTATTTACTTTATTTTAATTTATGTCAGTTTATAAGTTATAAAATTCATATGATTTATTATGTTTTTCAAAGATATTAATTTCAAATTTTACATGTGGTGAGTTAGTTTATTTATGATTTATTTATGTCGAACATTAATAAAATAAATGAAGAGTAATTAATTCATCATTTCTTTTTATCAATAAGCGTCACACTTTGTTTGATGCCATAATTTTGAAAATTAAAAGCAGATAATTCAAACTTTGTTTTTTCACTCATGAAAGGAAAGCACGTGTCTCATTCATAGGTCGCTATAGCTTTCTAGTAGGGTAGTAAAACTTCCGAAATTTGCAATTCAAGGATTGAATTGAAATAGTCTCAAGAGTCAAGGACGTTTTGGAAACTCCGAGGTCTACTGGAAATCGAATCCAAACGACAGGTATCTTTTCAATAAAGGGTAGTTTCACAAGAAAGGTTTTTATTCTATATTGGAAAAAAAAATACTTGCTTAATATATTTTTCATAAATATAAATTTTTATTATGTAATAAATTAAATGAAAATCATAATAAATAAGCTCTACTAGTAAGCTTTCTCTATAATATTATGGATATTTATAATATATATAAAAAATTACATTTAAAATTTAATATTTTAGAGATATTAGTTTTTTTTTATCTTTTTTCTTTTCTTTTTATTCTCACAAATATATATATGCAAAAATCATATTTTCATTATTTTTTCCTTAATCTTTCAAAAAATTTAGTTGTATATTAGAGTTGTTATTTTTATATAAAACAAATAAATAATTTAAAGACCATATTTTAACGCTTCTAAAATAACTTTTTATTTGTTTCAATACCCAAATAGTTTTACTAATACCGGTCATCCATAAATTAAGCTTGCAGCTATTGAATTACATGTCTGATTTATACAAAGGAAATTAAAACACACAGCTATCTGCGATTAAATTCTAACTTTGCTCGCAGGTTTCTCCATCTAGATTGGTGAAGAGGGCATCTCCTCTATACGGGAAAGCAGCATAAGAACCAGACTTTCTGCAACTAGCTTTCACTGCCGATGAAGTTAGAATGCTTGTTTGCCGCTGTATCTCATCGTGTTTGTCACTAAGATACATCTCTTGCCATCAAACAAGCCATCCTCTTTTCAGAGACAGCGGTGAAGACGATAAAGCCTCATCACTAACTTGACTCACCAAAACTGAAACCTCTATCAGCAGCATAATCCACAAAGCTATAAAGTGGCAATACACTATCACCATATTTCTCAAACCCATCCAATTCTTTTTTAGCCTTGGCTCTCAGCTCCTCCGCTACCTCTATAGCCTTCTCAACCCCATAAAAAGCAACATAACTCTTCCCTTTCTTTTTCTTCTTGTCCTCATCTACCTTGCTCTTCATCGTTTTTGCTTCCAAGATGTCATCAACGACTTGATATAATACCCCAACAGCTCTTCCATATCTCCTCAATCTCTGTATCTCATCATCCTTGGCACCAGCTAGCAATCCTCCACACACCGCAGAGCACTCACCCATTTCACCAAATTTCTTCTCCTGAACAAATTCAACGGAATTGGGACCGCCCTCAAGGTCAAGGAACTGCCCAGCAGCCATGCCTGTGGACCCCACAGCACGGGCAATCTCGGCAATCACACTGAGAAGTCGTGGCTCTGGTACAAGGTCAGAAGGTGTGTGGGATACAATGTGGTGAAAGCCAAGAGGGAAGAGTGCATCCCCAGCAAGGATTGCCATATCAACGCCATAAATTTTGTGGTTTGAAGGCTGGCCTCGACGTGACGGGTCATCATCCATGCAGGGAAGGTCATCATGAATCAACGAAGCTGAATGAACCTGTCAAAACCAGAGGATAATGGATTCAATTACCACAAGGAAGGCGATTGCAAATCAGCAAAGTTGTCACGCATACATAGATGACAGACCCCTACAACACTTTCCCTTTCCTCCAAGACAATTGGAAGTACTCCAAGTGACTTAAGAAGAGTTAAGCATTCTCCTTTTTATAAACAGAGTTGTTCCTCAGTATTGGAACCAGCAGTTAAAAGCAATTCCATATTTACTCTCTGATTCTGCTACGCAGAACAAACTGAAATCAAAATACTTCTACCTAAAGAGAAGTATCCTGAATCCCTCCTTAAATGAAAAGATTCCACAAAAAGAACAATATCTGTATCACATATCCACCTTAAAACATAAAGTGGCTCAACATGATAGGACATCATAGCATCATCAGTCCTGCTAACTCAAGATTAGAGTTTCCAGTAAGATTCCTCTGATAGCTTCTGGACGAGAAACTGAAAAACAAGACTAACACCAACCTAAACTTCATATTTGCTATTTGACATCTAAAGCAGAACAGTCATCATGAAAACCCATATAAAAATGTTAAGAGTGCGATCAAAGAACCTACCTAACCCACTTGACCCTGCACTAATTAGACATAATCAAGAACCTAACAACATCAAATTCAATTCCCTTCTCGATTAAGTTCCTCCAAAAAAAAAAAACTAAACAGCATTAAAAAAATTCAAAAACCAAATCAAATTAAAAAAGAATCAAAATACAAAGATGGGGGTTCTTACCATTTCAAGAGCACAAGCAGTAGGGAAGGCAGCATGACGATCACCACCAAAGAGCTCACAAGCAGCAACACACATAACAGGAGGGGCTCTTTTAGCACCTTTAGCAAGAACAGAATACCTCATGGCCTCATAAATCTTATCTGGATACTGAATAGGAACGGCTTGGTCAAGCTTCTGATTGATTTCTAGGATCAAGTCTGTCCAATAAGTCTTTAAATCAAACTGGGGTGTTTTTGAATGGGTTGAAACTGATAAAGAACATTGAATTGGTGACATTTTGTTAAGCTTCGGAGGGTAAAGATTTGGGCCTTTTTTAGGGAGATAGAGAGTGATAGATGGTGATGTTAACGCTGAGAGAGAGAGAGCCATTTTTTTTTTTTTTTACAGAACCTGTGTTTCTCTCAACCACTGATTATGCCTCTACAAAGGTTGCTTTTCCAATGTGGAAAGTTTGAGCTTTGAATGGAGTTCGGTGCATATTTACGACGGATCGGATGGGATTTGGGAGTGGAGAAAAGGTTTCATTGACTTGTCGTCATGGCTTGGAGTGTTTGCTGCTACCTAGGCAAGAGGAAATGCACTGTCTATTTTATAAATATATATATATATATATATATATATATATATATATAAATATATTAATCAGTGAAAGCAGTACTAAATTGAAAAACTTGTTTGCGTGTAATGATAAAGGTTATTTAATGGGGTTTTATCGTTTATGTCGGGCGGGGCAAGCGGCATGACATTGTTGTCTAGGGACGATGAAGATTATTTTCATGCTTTATATGTAAAATGTGATGTACTAGAAAGATTTTTTAAATTTAACTACAGAGTTATGATTAATGTTTATGAACTGTTACGTAAAGCGGCATGACGTTGTTGTCTAGGAACGATGAAGATTTTTTTTCATATTTTATATGTAAAATGTGATGTACTAGAAAGATTTTTTAAATTTAACAACAGACATATGATTGATTTTTTAAATTTAACTACAGAGATATGATTAATATTTATGAACTGTTACGTAATATTATTGTTATTAAAAATTTATAATTTATAGATACATTTGAGTCTGAATAAGAAATTAATTATATAAAAAATTGATGAATCATCTTCAATATACTGTATTTATGGTAAACTATATTATTATTTGATTATTTTTTTTAAATCAGATTTTTATTCGTTAGTTTTTTTTAAATTTTAAGGTAAATCTCTCTTTAAGAGAAAATTTCTATCTTATTGGGTTAAATCTTAACCATTCTAAAATTTAAATTTTAATATCATATTTATTTATATCTTGTATCTTTAATATCTGAGGGTGTACTTTATCGTGTAATTTTACACCTTATAAATATTAAAGTCTACATCTGGATTCTACAAAAAATTATTGAATTTTTTTGACATAATGGCCAAATCTTCATGGATAATTATAAACTGGTTACGATATTCATTTTTGGATTTTTTTTAAACAAGAAAAAAGATGGAATTTTTTTTATGAAAAATATGCTTGGAAAAATTTTAGAATTTAGCCATATTAAACAAAATATTTTTTTTCTTTTTGAAAATGTTTTGAAATTTTTTATTTTTTTGAAATATTTTGAAGAAAACCGAGTATTTTAATACTGAATTTGTATTTTACAGTGTAAATATACAACCCGATATCATACAAAATTGGTAGAAAAATATACGAGAAAATCATCATTTTTTAAATGATTTTTTTTTAAAATATAATCCACTACATGAACAGTGGACGTGAATTATAATTCAGGACCATTGTTCATGAGTGAATAGTAGGATGTGAATTATAATTAACGTCCTCTGTTCATTGAATAGAGGCAGTAAAGAAAAGAAGAAAAAAGGGAAGGGGAGAGAGGGTAAATAACCTAGTATGGTGGCGGTCCAGCCAAAGATGATGATGTGCTACCAGTGGTTGCAGCCGTGGAGGTCGGCGTTGACTACGGGAGGAAGAAAAAAAAGTTGTAGAGAAGAGAGAAACATTGGAAGGAGAATCGCGATAGCTGCATGGTGGTCGGTTGGTGGTAGAAACGGTAAAAGGCTGACTTGAGGATGATGGCTGAAACTATGACATAGATGGTGGCCGGCGGTAAAGGAAGCAAAAGAAGAAGAAAAAACACGTGAGAAATGCTATAAAAAGAAGAGAGAAACCAACAATGGTTTTTGGTAGTCGGTTGGTAATCGTGTTGGCTTCCTGTGGTGGAGCTAATGGTGGGTATGATAACCCAATTATGGGTTATTTTTTAAAAAATAATTTTTTTAAATAAGACAAAAAAAATAAAATAATAGCTGGTAACGTAGAGAAAGCAAACTCGAGAATCAAGCTGCAATTTAGAGAGAATTCAAGGTCAAAATAATTGTACCTCATTGTACCTAAAAATATATAAAAAATACAAATTTAAGGTCAAATTAGATGATTATTGGATAAATTTGCATAAACATCAAGTCCATGGACATAATTAAATTTTTAACAGGCCAATTTAATTTAATTATGGGTCAAATTAAATTTTAATTATGTTTAAAAATTAATTTGGGTCCAATTGAAGGATTCAATTAAGTGTAAGGACTTATTAATTTTATTTAGGGCTTAATTGGTGAAAAATTAAATTTAGGAGCCTAATTTGGGCTTAATTGAGAAGATTGGATTTTTAAGAGACCAAATTTAATTTTTACCATGTTAATTAATTGAAATTAAGGGCTAAATTGCAAGAAAATTGAGTTTTTAGGGTCAATTAAGGGCTAAATTGAAGAAATTCGAATCCGAGGATCAATCTATAAAATGCACCAAAATTGAGGTGCTTAATTGACAAAAATCGGGGGGTGAAATTGAAAGTTTAATGGTCAATTAAGGGTTCAATTAATAAAATCTAATACCAATGACCATATTGTAAAATGCGAGTAACTTCGAGGTTCCAATTGAACTTTGTCAGGGGCTTAATTGCATTAAATCAAGAATTTAGGAAGAATAAATCAAAAATCATTAAAAATCCCTAACTAATCCAAAACAATGCTGTTTTGAAAAAAAATAGACGACGTGTTATTCGACACTATTCACAATCTTCTCCTATTTTGCCTGGAAATGTTGCCCCAATGACTATTTTTCATATACATATAATGCTTTGTTGATCCATCAAATTTAATAAAGCACGCATGAAAATAATCCCATGCAGTTACTTTACAATGCCGATTGAACAATTTAGTCTGAATGGCGATAGCATAGTGTTGGTGCCGGCCTAAAGAGGCCAACTTAGACGGTCTTTTTTGCAGATTAATGACATGACTTAAAGATTGATGTCTTCTTCTAAGTGCAGGAGTGTCGAAGTAATAAATAACCTGGCAAGACCGGGGTCGAACCACAGGGAGGTTAATTGTACAAATTACAAACAACAATTATAAACAACAACAACAACAATAACAATAATAATAGTAATAATAATAGTACTACTAGTAGTAATAGTAATAATAGTAGTAGTAGCAGCAGCAGCACTACTACTACTACTACTACTACTACTA